TTAGCTTTTGTTACTTTTTCCTACTCTTGTTGATGGCCAACAGTTGCCTCATCATTTCAAGTCTTGCATAGATCATGCTCTCACCAACCTGAAAATCTTCCCCTGGACCTAAGACAAAGTTCACCAAGCAAACAAAAATGAAGAGTGTGGTTGTGCTTCTCTGAGCTCTGCTCCAAGTAGGACACTCTGCTCTCCCTGTTAATTGCATTCCGTGTTGTGTTGTGTCATGGTATGTAAGTGGGGTTTACAGTGCAACCAGAGTACTTACCTGAACTCAGGATGCTCTGGTGGGATTAAGCAAAAGGATCTTAAGTATTTGGACACCTGACAGGTTTACCCCCAAGAATTTGGAAAGAAAGACAGAGTTATATTATAAACTCTACCACAGTAGATTGGGAACAGAGAGTCACCTAAGAGAGAGAATAGCTGTTAGACCAGAGCAGGACTTTTCTTTGAACCTGCTTGAAGTGTTTAAACTGAACAAAACAGGGCCTCCCCGGTGGCGCAGTGGTTGAGCGCTGGGTTGCGAAGCTGCCCGCAGCCTCTGCAGCATCGGTTCGATCCCCGGCTGCTCTCCAGCCACCGGAGGAGGGTCCCACATGGCGCGCAGACCTCTCCTGCCGCCCGCTGCTCCCCTCAGCAGTGTACTTCGGTCCTTCTGCCTGCTCTGCTCCCTGCTCTGGCTCTGGTGAATTCTCTCACCCTCCCGCGCCTCTGACTGTACCCAGTGCTTGTATGCATGTATGTATCAATCAATAAATCTTTAAAAAAAAAAAAAAAAAAAAATAAACTGAACAAAACAAAAATAGTTTCATGGAAAGGGACCTGTCAGACACAGAAGCAGGAAGTAACTAGAAACAGAATCATGTACTGGCAGAGTCCCAGGGCCAATCACGGAAAGGAGAATTTTAGGCATTAAGCCTCCTTCCCTTGGGGACCAATGGCAAGGTTGTCCCTATATAGAGCAGGTGGGAAGGATGTTTGAATTTAGTTCTTCGATGGAGGACAGACCACAATACACCAACACCAAGGAGTAGCAGAGAGAACAAAGTCGACAATGAGAACTCAGTGGAGAGAGAAGGGCTGCCCAGAGGGCCAAACTGGGCTGCACCTGGAGTCAGGGTAACAAGCTGGAGCTGTAGTGGCAGCTTATGTATGGCCAGCAAGGGCTTAGTGAAGTTTCTGGAATCCCTGTGGATTCCCTCATTCCAGTGAGTTCTTGGGTGCTGGGCATAGGCACTGCCCCTAGTTGTGTCATTAGGGCTGAGGCTGGTACATCCTGACCCAGAAGGACAAGGGCCCAGTAAGAGAAGTGGTTAGAGGTGTTTTCCTAACCCATTGCTTAAGAAGGGAAATAACCAACTTTTAAAACTGGGTCAAGGGCCTCCCCAGTGGTGTAGCAGGTTGAGCGCAGCACTGTGAAGCTGTCTGCAGCCTCTGCAGTGCTGGTTCGATACCCAGCCAGCCAGGGAGATTCCCACATGGCGCAGCAGACCTCTCCAGTCCCACCCCTCACCAGTGTATTTTTGCTGCTCCCCTCAGCAATGTATTTCGGTCCTCCTGCCTATTCTGCTCCCTGCTCTGTCTCTGGTGAGTTCTCTCACTCTCCTGTGCCTCTAGCTTGTACCTCAGTGCTCGTATAACTCAATAAATCTTAAAAAAAATAAATAACAAATCAAATTAACGTCACATTGGCAAACAAAGACAGAAGAGGAATAAAGGAGGCTCACTTTAAAAAAACAACTGGGTCAAAACACATTTTAAAAAAATAAACAATTATAAACAGAGTGGTTTTATCTTGCATGCCCAACTCAAGGCCCAGTGTTGACAAGAGTTCTAAATCTGAATCCAGGCTCATTGGGAAAAATTGCTGAGACTGATAGTTGATGCCTGACGGAGGCATGGGGGGCAGTACAAACCCCACACCAGGGGCTGGCTGGCCAGATGTTACAGTTGCCATCTAAATTCCAAGTGCTATTCTGAGCAGGATCCTCCCTACAGTGAAAAAGAGGCATAAACTGTCTCTGCCAGATGGTTAGAGTATTTGTCTAATTCCAGTAGGTGTCTACTCTTATTCTTTATGACTACATCCTGCTTATTCCCTTCCTAGCCCTTAAGATGTTTGCAATTCTGTTTTATGATTTAATTATGTTATATATACATATGTTTGTAATTATGTAACATATTATCTTTATATTATTTATGGCATATGTTCTATAATTAGGTTATACAAACACATTATATAATGATCATTTTATATATTTATTTAAATGTTTCATTATGTATTATCCATCTCTATCACTAGATTATTAGCTCCAGTGAGGACTTTATTCACTAAAGTATACCTAATGCCCAGTAAAATGGTTTTCTCAGAGTCAGCATTCTGGAATATTTCTTGAAAATGAGTAAACTCTTGAGAGAGTTGTTGAAAAGAACAAAGAATAAATGGATGACTATAACTCGTCTCACCAGGCAGAGTCTAGCAGAGCTCTTTTATAGAAAAAGAGAGTGCTGTCAGGAATATGTCTGGTATTTCTCCTAAAATTATAGCTTGGATTCCAGTGACTGCCTTGTTCTAAAGTGTGGTTTGCTTCTGTGGGTCATGTGCTCAGGGACAGTCCACCTCTGGACTGGGAAAAAGTGAGCATCTATCGAGACGCTAAAATAGAGTTTACATTCTGCCAGCATCATTTCTCGCCCTTAGGAAAAGGTGCCTCCCCCAATTTCAAGCTTTATTCCCTACTATTTCCACACACCCATCAGCAAAGTCATTGTATTTGACACTAACACATGGTTTCTTAGGTTATTAGGTTAAATAAAATATGCTGGAGCCAAGAAGATTTTTCTACATGACTTTCATCCTGCCTGCTTAATTAAATCCTTCACCTGGGAAAAGAGTGATTTTCAGCCATTTCGCTTTCTGTGGCATCAGCATGAAACTGTGACTGTTGAAATATCAAAATGCCAGTTGTGTTTAATGCTTCAGGTGCAACAAGCCCGTTATATTTGGAATCCCCTATGAAGATAGATATTAACTGAGAATTGAAAGTGACAGCAGAGGAGATTGAATCAGAATAGCAAAATAAGCACACAAATCTACTACTTCTCTGGCTCCAGTCCCTTCAAATTGTCAGAAAAGACATATTTTTAGGAATCATCCAGAACAGTACCGGAAAATAATAAATAATGCTATCAGAGAACCCAAAATCTAGGGAGGTTCCTGGCAGACTACAACAAATGGAATTGGATAGCAAACAATGGGGATGACCAGAGGCCTAAGGATACTCACAAAAAGACAATTTTAGATGGAGGAGCACAAGGAGACACTGAACTCACAGCACACATGTTATAAAGCATGAGGGTGACTCCAATGGCTTAGTTGCATTGGTGACCCAAACTCTTCACCCCTCCCTACATCTGTACCCTTTGCCATGAGACTTTGCAGTTCCTCTCACTGAAAAGGAGGGGCCAGTTACCCCATCTCTTGTGACCTTGTGACATATTTTACCCAATAAGGCAGATGAGACAATCAGTCAGTTCTAAACTGAGAACTTAGAGGTCTTCTATATTTGGCATGTTTCCATTTGCTGTTTTAGAACCTCTGGCATCCAACCATGATATTCAGACTAGCCTTCTGAAGCATGAGACACGTGGAGTAGGGGAAAGTCACCACAGACCTCTGATGTTGTGTTTGTTATGAAGCATTGTCATGGCAATATATCATTGGTCCAGAGTCCCAATTGTGTTTACAACACACATTACTGCTTATAATGAGCAATGGTGGTGGTAATGGTGTTTGACTGCAGAATGAGGCTAATGCCTGTATTCTAAGGAAGGGAATCATGCCCAAGGTGGTCTCTGTGTGGGCTGAGTAATCTGAAAATGAAAAAAGGATTGTGGTGAGATAACTGTGTACTTCCAGACCATTTAGAATGCAAAGGCAAAGGGAAAGGTCACTCTACTTAGGTGGATCATAAACTCACATACTCCCTCACCGCAGCTAAGAAAGTCCTCGTTTTTGTCGGCCATAATAGTGGTAGGAGGCCCCAGACTGCTGGCTTACTCTACTTTCAGGCATCCAAAAATGATATGGATCAACTGGCTCACTGCTTCTCTTAAAAAGAGCCTGAAATTACCTTGAATTTGGGAGAGATACATTGCAGATATATGCATGCAGATAGATGAGAGAGCTATGCATACAATGTATGTCATAGCAGAGAAACTCACCCTGCTAAGTCCATCAACCTTTATTTTCAGTCATTAATATAGAGAAATGACCAACACACAGATAATGAAGAAAATCCCATGATGTTGAGAAGTGAGAAAAACACAGGCCAACTAATTCTAAAGGAAACAATTCAAGAAAAGGAGATAGAATAATAGTCTCAGAAAGAGCCATTATAATATTGTATCTGCAACAGACAGCAAAAAATATGAATGAAAATAATAATGAGCCCTTGGAAGGTAATTTTTTTCTTAAAACATTTCAGAATTATAATAAACAGTAGCAAAGATAAGCGCAAAACACAAATAAGCAATTAGGAAGATAAAACTAAAAAAATGTAAGGACATTGATGGGGGAAAAGATGGGAAATGTCTAAGAAAGGTGAAAGATATGGATCTCTGATCCAGAAATTCCAATATAAGGTGACTATAAGTTTCAGGCGGGAAGGAGAAAATGAGTGAACAAAACTGAAGAAAAAAAAAGCAAACAGAAGATTTTTCCAAGATGATGACTATATAATGCAAGTATGTTCACCTATGCATAAAAGTAAAGCTAAAGATTTTTTTAAATAAAATAAATTACAAATTATACTTGTTTTTGATGTCTGACAGCTATTTTTATGGATGGAAAGAACTCAAAGTCATGTTTATTTTATCTTTATTTATTTTAGGATTATTTTTACAAGTGAAAAACTATTACTTTCAACTTTAAAATTCCATATTTTTCTTGTTTTCCTCCTCTACTTCCCCACCCAACTATATACTCTTTGTTTTAGCCCAGGAGACATGATTACTCTTTTAGAGGACTCCAATGAAGACTGGTGGAAAGTAGGTATTTCTCCTTCTATAAAAAATAGTCATTTGGTAACTAATTATAATAAATGCTACCATCGTGATTACATGCCTCCTTTTTCCTTTCAGGGGAAGATTCAAGACAGGATTGGTTTCTTTCCAGCCAACTTTGTTCAGAGAGTACAAGAAAATGAGAAGATTTTTAGATGTGTTAGAACCTTCGTTGGATGTAAAGAACAAGGGCAGATAACAATGAAAGAGAATCAGGTGAGTAATACACGGAAACACAGACCAGGGATGACCAAAATAGAATTTTAACAGTTGAAAACAAACTGCAGTACACAAAGAATCTGAAGGAGTAGGGTTACATTCAAAATATCCACTTTGAGCAAAGGTATCCTTACTCTAATTTTAATAGTGCAGTGGAGTCTATACATACAAAAGCAAAATATTAAGAAGCTCACCTGGTCGTATTGTTCACAAGAGGAAATGTTCAGCCCACAATGGTTGCTGGGGGAGACTATCAGTTTCCTGTGCTTTTTCCCTGAGGCCCACTGATCTCTGAACTAGGCAACTTCTCCAATTTAGGTTCTATGCTGGTCTCCACCAGTGGATGGTTAATCCTTCATGGTTTCTTGGGAATTGCCTATTATCTGCTGCTGTGTTCCATAGTTCATTGCATTTATCACCATCACAAAGACACCCTCCACTTCCTTCATAAATCCTAGTGGACATGAATCCACTCATTTTGGATAGTGATTTGGTGACATGTATTAAGAGCCACAGAATTGCTTCACCTCAGAATACATTAATTCCATTTTCTATAATATACACAAGAAAATAATGTTTAATAAATTGGGGAGAAGCTATACCAAAAAACTAATCATCACAGTGGTTTTCATAATGGTGAAAATTGGAGGTTAACGCATTTGTACAGCCTTTGACTGCATAATGGTGAAAATTGGGAACAATGAGGTGTCTGACCAAAGGTGATTCTTTAGGAGCTAGTATTAGGAACCAGGACAGTTGCGATAGCATTATGATAATGTTATGGACAAAATACTGGAATCCAGACCCAGATTCCACTCACCACTCTCCCAAGGTAAACACAAAGGAAGAGGGAAAAATAGGCCTGCCCTCCTTGTTTTTATTACTGGAAACATAGTGAACCAGACAAGATCACAGGCACCATCACCACCACCACAGGCCTGTCTAACTCTCAGCATCCTGCAGCCCCAGATGGCCCACGGGGAGCAATAGCTCAGAAAAAGTGCAGCAAAACTGGTGTAGGAGACAGGAAGCCCTCCTATGAGGATCCAGAAAGGAGAAAGCAGCTGAACAGATGATGATATACCCCTGGGACATGGGTTCTAATCCAGCCTCCTCCCAGGGAGAACTAAAGACAGACCTAGACCAGGAAAGAGAAGAATGATCTTCAAATATTGCATTTCCATCTTAAATGCTGGTTTTATAGATAGAGACAGAATAAGTTAAATATTAATGATACAAAGGTAGGGAAAATTAATTTAAAGATGGGGAAAATTGGAAAGTGTCTTTAAGGATTTTTTCTTTTTCCATTTAAGTTACTTTCATAGTGTAAATTTTTTGATTAAATTTATAAAGAAGCAAAATTAAAAATACTCAGTCTTATCTTTTATACCTAACAATATAACAATACAGTGTTGCTGTGATCTTCTGGGGTTTCTGTCTTACACAGACCCACACATACTCCATACACCACACACCCCTCACACACAACCACAACCCACCAGTACTATATCTAATTGTAGTATCGGCTTTTTATTTAAATGCAAGACCCCCACAGGGGTGTATGTTATCTAATGATTGTGGGTTATTAAAATCATTACTACCCTTAGGAAATTAGGTCACTGGGCTCTTGGTTCCACCCTGGTTTTACAGTTTTACTGGAAATGGGAATTCTTCCTATTTACAAAAATTGCTTACAAGGTGAGATTGCATTTTGAAAATTACACAGCTTCTCCTTTACCTGGTCCATTACGAACAAAATATATCTTTATGGAGATCAAAAGTTATCATTAAACTGTCATGAAATATATTTCGTTTAATATCTCCTACTCCTTTCTGCCCAAAGTTTCTCCTTTTCCCTGGAACTGGTGTCCCCCCACGATACAGAAGCCATCTTCTGTCTATAAATTGCAGTGGCATCTGAGGGACTCGCCTCTAAACAGAATCTCTGGGCACCACCATCACCCAAACCTCTCGCAGTTATCTTTTTGGGGATTGTGCTGGCTGTTTCGGTGTCTACTTCTTCAGGAAGAATCTTTTATCTCCAGCCCTTAGTTTTATAAAGAAGGAAAGAACAAATTAATACTGTCTGTCCCCCACTTTGTCATGACAATAATTGTTATAAGTATCATGATTACTATATGTCATTATTGAATAAAATCATACATATTTATATTATTTAATAATAATAAAGCTTGCCTACCTATAACTTATTTGAGGATCCACACCAGCCCTATGAAATTCATGATTATTCACTGTTTACATTTTATAAATGAGGAAACAAAGACTCATAGAAGTTATGTGCCTTGCTCAAGGGGGAAAAAACCTGGCTTGTGGACAGACCAGAACTTAACATAGGTTTGCATGCTCCGAGTCAATGCCTTCTCCCAAGCCAAGTGCCCTAGACAGCGAACAAACTCTCCATAGTGAAGCACCATTCACATAGCCTGGCCCCCAGGAAGGGCAAGGGTCATAGAAGCAAATGTCTTAAGACCAGAGGGCTCCTTGAAAACAAACTCTTGCTCCTGCAGCACCCTACTGAGTCATTATTATTTCCAGGCAATGGAATCATTCTCATCAGATCTAGACCCGTCTCCAGTGTCACAATAACCCCACCACCCCATGAAGCAAATGGGCCCTTTTCCCAGCTGGATTCCGTGCCAACACTCCAAACTTCTCTGTTTACCCAACAACATCCTGCCTGTTCCAAATATTTGCTAAGTTTTTTGAAAAGTAAATTAGGGTAGGATGTTCCTCTTTATTGACACGGCATTATTAAATAGCTTTGCTAGCACATTTGATTGTTTTTCTCAGAATAATCTTGTTTCCCATTTGAGATTAAGCATTGCTTTTATGTTATTAAAATACACATCAGTGGAACCAGAAAGCAAATTAAAATGTGTTCAAGCTGATCAGTTTCCAGAAGTAGAACATCTGTTCATTGACTCCACCAATTCCATGGTCTTATTCCCCAAAACATATCTTTCCCAAGACTGGGCCTCATACCTATATTCTCCAACCTCAAGGTTGAACAATTTACTGGGGTGAAGGCAGAGGTGAAGCAAACAACCCCAGTGTCTCCAGCTAGACATGTTCAAGATACAACAGAGTATTTCAGCCTGAACCTGGGAGCAAGTGGATCTGCCCATCTACTTTATAGCCAAGGGCTGTAAATGCCAATATTTGTCCAGCCCAGTGTTTCTTACTGTGTATCTTTCAACCACCTGAATCAGGATCACCTGGCACCTTATTAAAAAATGCATTTCCACCCTAAAACTGTTGAGGTGGAAACTTTCAGCTTAAAGATGGGGGAATCAGGTTCTTTTACAAACTCTCCAGGTGTTCAGATCAAAGGTAAAGTTTGAGAATGACTTTAATTTCCATTATGTCACTTTTAAGCTCCATTGTAGTCCTATAACAGCTGAAGACACTTTTATTTCCAATTACATACAGCTCAACAAAAGGCACTGAGTTCTCTTGATCCCCATGCAAGTTCTCTATTTTTCAGTCTTTGTCATCAACATGGCAACCCATTTTTTTGAAAATGTCAGTCACTTGAAAGAAAATTTGCACTTTAAAAATCTATTAAGACAAAAAAATTAAAATTTGTCTCCACATTAGGGTACTAAATTGTTTTACTAAATTGTGCAAGAACATAGCTTCTAGTGTCATACAGACATGCATCCATAGCCTATGTGCTTTTTGCAAGGTCACTACTGAATGTCAAGTTCTCACCTATAAAATCATCATGACTCTCCCTCTTGATGTAGGTGTGAAGGTTAAATGGGATCAGCTGTGCCAATCCCCAGCCCAGTACCTCGCCACAATGGTGCAGATCAAGATCATCGCCTTGGCACCATCACCATTCAGAGGAAAGCCTAAATGGGAAATTCATCTGCAGTGCCCAATGCCACCTAAAGTTACCTGATAAGCCACCCAAAATTGCCAGAATGTTATTTATGATTCAAAAAATATAAAGAGACAAATGGCCATTAGCAGGGAAACAGAAGAAATTTGATTTTGAAAATTTTGAAAATAAATGCAATGTATCTCTTTGATTAAATCAAATTTCTGCCTCTGGGGTTGATTTGTCCCATAATTATTATATTAGTTTTCCACAGAGCTCTTGTTTCCAAATAGAATTAAGTTATCCTTTTGTTGTGAATACAACTAGAGTTGCATTGACACAAGAGTATGTTTGCTTCATTTTTGAAATTTAAAAAATATCCTTATTAAATCAACTTTAAATATATGAAAGCATTTTTTAAATTCATCCATAGTCCAGCCATTGCTATAGAACTATCTTCAATCATACTTTGTGTTCTGTCAAAGCTGTTAAGAAAATGGATAGACTATTTTTAGATTATAAAACTATAATACTTATTGAAATAAAATGAGAAAATGTGGGGAAAAACAAAATATATATATAAAGAAGAAAATAAATATCACAGATAATTAACCCATCAAGGTATGATCAAAATAGGCTTTTTGATGTATTTTCTACCAAACCTTGCTTTTAATTCATCCTTTGATCCATAGTAATTTATTTTCCCAACATATTTTTTAACTTAGTCACTAAAAGGCCATCCAAACAAAATTTTTAACAATTATGTAACATTTCACTGTGTAGATCAGGGGTTGACAAATTATGGCCCATGCATCAAATCTGGCTCTGTTTTCACAATAAGTTTATCAGAACATTACTACACTCATTACGTATGATTTAGCTTATGTCTGCTTCCATGCTACAAAGGCTCAGTTGAGTCACTGCAACAGAGATCATGTGGTCTGCAAAACCTAAAATATTTAATATTTCGTCCTTTACGGAGAAAGTTTGCCAAACCCTAGTCTCAATGAAAAAGAATGTTTTTAAGTATTCCTCTATCACTGGATAAATTCAGCGTTTTTTAATGTTTAAACTATTGTTAATAACTGCAATGAGCAACTTTAAACCTAAATCTTTCCCCCTAAGCCTGATTACTTCCTTAGGATGTAATTTAGAATGTATCAGAAAGGAGATCAAAGATTTTTTAGTTTTTGATACAGACAGGCAGTTGTCTTCCAAAAGGCTGTACCAATACATACCCATAGCAGCGGTTTATGAGACTGTTCAGCTCTCCACATCCTTGCCCAAACTGAACATTACTCATTTTCATATCTGTCATTTTGGTAGAGGAATAAATTTCATGTTTCTATGCTTTTCCTGCATGGTCGGAAGACTGAGATTTTATCATCTATGTATTGGGCATTTGTGCATTGCCTCTTACACTGTTGAAAAAGTTTTCTTTTAAAAATATTAACACCTGGGGCCTCCCCGGTGGCGCAGCGGCTGAGTGCTGGGTTGCGAAGCTGCCCGCAGCCTCTGCAGTGCTGGTTCGATCCCCGGCTGCTCCCCGGCCACCAGAGGAAGGTCCCACATGGCGCGCAGACCTCTCCTGCCGCCTGCTGCTCCCCTCAGCAGTGTACTTTGTCAGTCTGCCTGCTCTGCTCCCCGCTCTGGCTCTGGTGAATTCTCTCACCCTCCCACGCTTCTGACTGTAACCAGTGCTTGTATAAATAAATAAATAAATCCTAAAAATAAATAAATAAATAAATAAATAAATAAATAAATAAATAAATAAATAAAAATATTCACACCTGTTCTGCCTGCTGGGTGGACAGATCAAGATTTGTTGAAGTGAGGGGAAAACTGGCCTAGCCTCAGATGTCTTCTGGCTGGAAAGGGAGAAGGAGGGAAGAGGAGGAGAAAGGAATGGAAGGAGAGAAGGAAAGAGAGAGGAGACAGCAAAGGAGGGGAAGGGAGAAGCAAAAGAGCTGCTTTGAATAAACATGCCCATCTCCTTCCTCCTTAAAGTCCTTTAACACCTAACTTTTGGTTTATACCAAGTCATTTTTGCCCTTTCCCGTGCTGCAGAGCCCTGATAATCTGTTCTCTGGTCTGTCTTTATCACCCATGACTCAGGTCATCGTAACTGAACTGATTGAATTGACCCAGTTCTCCTTGCTGGAGATTATTCTGGCGGTAGCTCGTGACCCACTTCCAGTCCATGAGAAGGTTGGGTCAGCCGAGGGACTTAGAGTGCGTAGCATGGCTTGAGTTTCCTGCACATTCTTGCCTTTGCCAGCCTTTCTGGATTCATTTCACCCCCCTCCCACCCCCACCACCCCCCATATTTTGTCCTAGCTGCACTGGTCTAGGCAGGCAAAGTGCCTCCACCTGTTGATACCTATTCTCTGCCCTCAAATACTTGGGGAAGTATTTCTTACCTGCTGAGCTAGATCACATCATGCCAATAGCTTCAAAACTCCCTTCTTTACATCTGGCCACACCGACCCTTATATGCCCCGCAGTGGCCTATAAATGACGCATACCAAGGTCACCCAAATGGATTTTAACCACCTCTTTTTTCAGTCCAGTGTAGGTGGTCTTACTCTGGAATATGGGAGATGTTGGCATCAATTTGCTTGGGGCCAGAAATGAAATCATTCCTTTTGACTTTTCACGTGCAGAAACTTCCGAGCACATTACTGGGGTGTGCTGAATGGTGGTCATTATTTTGGATCTTTAAAATAATGTGTTGAGGGCACATCATGTGCAGAGTACCAGACTCGGTGAGCACATTATCCCATCTGTCTTCATGGTGGCCCTTCAGGGAAACATTCATTATTAATTCCACTTTATTGATCCTTATTTAGAATACCAGAATTCATATCTGGAGAATTTCAACCCTAGCATTCTGCCTAGTTTTTTGTCAAAACTTTTTTTCACAGAGCCATGATTTACCAACCTGCCACGACTCTCCCTTTTCCAATGGGGTGTCCTCTGGCTTCCTGAAGCCAGGGGTCCAGCTTCTTCTCATTGACTCATTTGATTTTTCTTTCCTTGGCATTCAGATCTGCGTGACTTCTGAAGAAGAACAAGACGGCTTTATCAGGGTCCTCAGTGGAAAGAAGCAAGGCCTCGTGCCCCTGGACGTCCTACAGAACGTCTGATTGCTGCCCTGCCCCCTTCGCAGCAGCCTCGCTCTGCCACAGCGCCTCATCTCACAGTGTTGGCCCAGAGGGCTGCCCGCTGCCCGGGCCGCCGGGGGGAGCAGGGAGACAGAACTCGGGAGCTGAGACTGCAGGGCAGCCGCCAACTGGAGGGCCCGCCACTCAGCACACCCAGCTGCCCCGGGGTGGGGATGAGGCTGACAGTCAGCTGAGGGAACCGAGCACTGTACCTGGCCCCCGACTCAACTCTCTTCCCTGCCACCTGGTCCAAGTTACCCCACTGGAATGTGCTCCAGCTGGCGGTGTGACCCCAGTGTGAGGCTCAGATCCACATGGCCACGTGTGGGTCTGGTTCCAAATCTTTGTCCCCAGTGCTGACAAACCAGCATCATCACGTCTGAGATTCCCAGTCTCTCTGCAGAGCACGGGGTAGGGGTGCCTACTTCCTAGTCCCCAATACACCAGGACTCCCCAAAAGCCCTCCTCACTTGGGGACTGTGCTGTCTGTCCTGGCCCCCGAGAAAGGCCAGCAAGTGTGTGTTAGATTCGAGGGCTACATCAGTGTGGCGCCCACTGCAAAGACCTACTCTGCCCAAAGATTGCTGACAAGGCAGTCCCTCCTGCTATACTAGTCACCAACAGAGGTGACAGAACAGGCCGAGATACAAAGGGCAAAGCTGGGTAGGGTGAGGTAGAGAGCTCTGATTTACTGAAGATCATGCAGCCCTTTCCATTATGAAGTCCTGTCCCCAAGGAGATAGAGCTGGGGAAGAGAATGTGACCACAAGGCGCAGTGATGTGCTTCATTTTCATTTCACATCCTCTAAATTGGGGGGGCAGCCTTTTTCCCATACCATATCTTGTAGGACCCTTTTGGAGGTTGATACCACCTTGCAGGTAACCAACAACTGCATCTTAGGAAAAATGTAGCCAAATTGGAATCCATTCTTCTTTAGTGCAGTCTGTTAAACCCAGCAGATATAAAATGGAAGAGAATCCTTAATGCTTCATCCCTCTGAAAGGAGAGGAACTCGGGGTCTGTTTAGCAACTAGAGAGGTCTCTATACTCTGTACATGTACTAATGTTTACAAGAATGCAATATACTGTGATGCCTTCCTCTGCAAGACGCCTCCTAGCATTCAAACGTGCATCCTCTTAGTCATTAATATGGTTCAATGTCAATTCACAATGACCTTGGAATCAATGCCAGTTTGATTTGTTTTCATACAGAGCAATAAAATCATTAGAACAATTGGTTTTTAAAAGAATTAAGTGGCTGCATCCTGTGCATGTAAGCATTATTTCCCAAACCAAAGTATTAGTCTCCATTTATTTCTTTTGCTACTGCTCAGCCTGAAGTTGGGAGCAGAGATGGGATGGTTGCTGGTTCACAATAGTTTGGATGCCTTACTCTCATTTTAATGCCAGCATCCAGAAGTTCAATGTGCATAACTGAGTGTACAGAGTCAAGATGAATTCTTTGAGCACCAAGGTGGATGATATGACTGCCGTCTGTATAATGGAATGCTGGAGTACAAATGCTCTTTGTCTCTAATTCAATATTCCATTTAATAAAGACAACACAGTGGCTGGAAAGAGCGTAGAAGAGTATGTGTCTTGAGCTCTTACTGAAGTTTTCTGGTACAGTGGTATCATATCCATGCAAATTTAATTTGCATTAAAAAATAGGTTTGCCTTTTGAAGTTGAACAAAAGGAGGCTGTAGGAGCCAGCCTCTAAAGAGGTCCCCCGTGATCATGCCTCCTGATAATCTTGCCCCACTACACCCTGATAGCCCCTCTCTGTTTACATCTCACTAAGATATCTATAAAATATTGAAAAGGACGTAAGTGCACCATCATAGTTAAACTGACAGCTGGAAGACAGTCTATTCTAGAATCCCAGTCTGCAGGACAATAGGAGTAAGTGGGATCTGTGTCATAGAGGGGTGAAAAAGTCAGGAGGAAGAGTAGCTGTTCTGTGCTCTGAAGGCTTTAGCGAATGCTGACCAGCAGGGCGTAGGCTGATCTAAAAGAAAATTCAGCATTGCCCAAAATAGCCTCCCTAGGAAACTGAGTGAGCAGGTGTGCTGCACAGATTTATCACAAAACAAAATTCTTACAAACAACTCGGACAGAAAATCAAAGCTAATTTAATGACATCCTGTACCAGTGTCTTAGATTTTGCTCAGTTGCCATTCTGTTGTGTGTTTTAAACAACACCTGGTGTTTCTGACCCTCAGAACATGTTATTTTTCTTAGCTTCCAATGAGGAGTTTTAAATAATCCTCAGTTTTCCTGCAGGTCATAGAAATTTTTAACTATACCTTGAAATTTTAACAAGAAAATAGCAACTTAGTTTATAGTTCCTTTTTAAAAATTAAAAAATGACAGATTTTTTTAATCATCTCATCAAATTTAAACAGCTATGAAACATCTTCCATGCCTGCATAGAAGTCAGGATGTACTGAAGTCCTGGAAAAGTACAAGACCGATTTCCGAGAAATATTTTCAGATTTCCTTCATAGGTTTCTTTTTTTTTTGTTCAGTTGGTTTTTGTCCCACAAAGTCCTTTATCTAACTTATTTATTCTTTTAACTGAGCTAACATTAAGACCCTCCCCGTCAGGAACCACCACTCTAGGGCACCCACCACCGTGACACCCACAATCCATCACCAGAGTCCACTGTGCTTCTCTCTTTTTTCCATCAGCTTCATTTACCTTGGTTGTCAGGTTATTCACCTGACCCCTTCTCTCCTTACATGACAATTTTTTTCTCCCTTAAAGCCAGTTTCTTAAAAATTGTGTGCTTTGTTTGTGTTTTCATTCCTTATTATGATTTAAAAAATAAAATATATGACTTTTCCCCTGAGGTCAGCTTTGACCATGCTAATGTCCCATTGGATTCATTTCTGTAATTACTCTGTAATTACTTTTGCTTACTCACTTAGTTTTTTTTTTTTTACTTCATGTACATATGTGTGTGTATGTTGGTCCATAAAGTTTCTGTTCTGAGAACTAGCATTTTGTCCTCTGAATTATGTGTAATCTTTATAAATATTCAATGAATGTTGGCCATAAAAGAAAAGTCAGTCAGGCCTTCCTGGTGGCTCAGGGGGTTGAGCGCAGCGCTGTGAAGCTGTCTGCAGTCCCTGCAGTGCAGGTTCGATCCCCGCCAGCCACAGAGATGCCCACATGGCGTGGCAGATCTCTTCTGTCTTGCCTGCTGCTCCCCTCAACAGCGTGTTTAGGTCCATCTGCCTGTTCTGTTCCCTAGTCTGACTCTGGTGGGTCCTCTCACCCTCCTGTACCTCTGGCCTGTACGACAGTTCTTGTATAAATAAATACATCTTTAAAAAAAAAAAGAAAGAAAAGTCAATCATGCAAGTGCATACAGTTCAATAGACATCTACAAATAAATACTTAAAGTATTCAGGTCACCTGTGTGCTCTAAGACAGGAAGTCAGGTGTAAGCAACCCATGAGACTAAAGTGAGAGACCCCTGGCAAAGACTTCCAGTCCTTAGCACCAGTACTCAGAAGAAGGAAATGCCAGCCCGTACTCCACCGCAGTTTCCCCTTCCACATTTAGGATGAATCACAAAGATCATTTTCTAAGTAAACAATCTTTTTAACTGCCTGGAGAAAACTGTAAAGAAGCCACTGGCTTTATTATTATTGAAGTGACATTGCATAAGGAAGCAACTTTTAAGTGAAGAGGTTCCAAAAATATTTGTGGAAACTTCAGTGACAGGTCAGGAAGCTTTGGCAGAGTGAAACAATTACAATGATGAAGCCAGAGATCACTGCTGGGTGACGACCCCAGCACAGTGCCAGTGTGTGCCACCTGCTAACTGGTAAGGGTGAAACTCACATCATGAAGGGTAAAATTTATTCATACCCAAGAGTGTCTAATTCTGGACATGGTGAATCATAAGCTTCTGGATTGAAGACATGGTTCTTCCTTTGATCTTTCTAATGGTTGTTATTTTTGCAGTAAAACCAACAAATAGTTCTGGAGTCAGTGTATTTCAGTCAATCCGCCTCTTCTGTTCCCCACTCTGTCTCTGGTGAATCCTCTCACCCCCCACACCTCTGGCCTGTACCCCAGTTCTTGTATGCATAAATAAATCTTTTTAAAATAAGAATAATGAAGGTTAAAATATCATCAAAATGGAAGCAAATATACAGACAGCTTCACAAAAAGGAGAACAAGGATTTTTAAAGTGTAGATATCCCGTGACTTGGGCCAGGTGCCTATCATATTCATGAGGCACTTCACAAGTGCCTCTTTGCTACAGAAAGATCAGAAACATGATCTCCATGAATTACAAATGTTGCTCTTGCAAATGACCAAACTTCGTCTTTCATTCTTGTCCAGAAAGCAAGCTCTGAATTCAGCAAGATGGCCATCCTGGGAGTCGGTGGAATAGGCACCCAAATGACCCCGCTCCCTCAATGAGAGAGCTAGGATTTTATGAACGTGAGGGACATCAGGGCTTTGTATTTTCAGGTCCAAGAAGGTGCCAGGCAGTCAAGGCTATAGGACTCAAGATGCGTGACTCTCCAGGAGGGTGTGTTCTTAACCATCAGCACATGTTTGCTTCTGATACCGCCATCAACCCCAGCAACACAGAGAATTTTATAGGGATGGAGCACAATCAATAAGCCAAGGTCCCAGGAACAGAGGTGGGGCCAGTTAACAGTTAATCATGAGGAAGGGGGAGAAGAGAGAACAAAGGGTGGTTAGAGTTCATTCCACTTATTCCTCGTTTTTAGTTTAGGGGAGTCTTCTGGTTGCCAAATGCAGGGATTTGGCTACACTTTGCTCCCTTTCAATTACAAGGGAGAAATAGGAAATCTTCAATACTGGAAATCAGTTTTATAGAAAACATAACTCTTACAGACATGTAATATTAAAACCATAAAACCCGATGCAATGAAGCCGGGAAAGGCAAATCTTGAGCCAGCACTGGAAATAAAGAATTCTGTGGGAAATGCACACAAGAAACGTGATTTGCACTCACAGAAGGATCAGCCATCTGAAGAATGTTGTGTACTCCACAGAAGGGGAGTAGACATCGGTGGCAAGGACTGGGCTAGGGGGGCAGTAACAGAAGCAGAGCTAGACTCAAATGAGATTCCAGAAGGTGCAGTCTGGGGTGGGGGTGGGGGAGCAGAAGCAGGCAATAAATAAACTAGTACAGAAACTTGTACAATAAACTAGTACAGAAGCAAAATGGGGCAGGCTATGTTCTCAGAACTCTCCAGGAGAGATCTCTGTCTGCTGAAGGAAGAAACACTTCAAGACTTTTTTGGAGTCCTCAGGGAACCAAGTGGAGTGACAACAGATTGATGATAACCTGACTTGTGGGAAGAGCAGTTTCTGCAGGCCTTCAGTTTTGCAGTGGCAAGCTGGACGCCAGCTGAGTCTCCTGCAACCCTAGCAGAGTCCCTAGACCTTAGCCCATTGAGACCCATTTAAGACTGACAAATGTCAGATAATACATTTGTGTTAGTTAAGTCACCAAATTCGTGGTCATTTGGCATATCCCCCATGGCCGATGATGTCACCCTGCCACTTGGGAAGGTGGAGAGATGAAAGGAGAAATTAACTGAATCTTTTTATTGCGCCTTAAGAATATTGCCACAGAGGACCAAAGCCTGCAAACATGGCTTAGGAAGAAAAATGAGTTCCCAATAAGCCAGAATAAGCCAACCAAAAAGCAAAGAGAAAATCTAATAATATGGTCTTAACATGGAACCAATATGGGAAACAAGAGGCCCAGCAAGAGTCTGGGGATGAGAGGTGGACAGATGTCTCAGTCTGGCCAATAGGGCTGCAGCCAAGGGCTTTCCGACCCGGCCAGTGGACTACACAGAGGACACAGATGCAGTCCTACTTAAAAAGCAGTGTCATTGGGTTTGGGGGTTCCTGAGTTTGGGGTTGCCTCAGTCCTTGACTATGGTGTAAGAATTTACAGCCATATCTTTAGCAGAAGCAAAAGCAAAGTTTACTTAAAAAGAGAATAAAAGGACGCCCAGAGAAAAATTCCTGGGCAAGCGGAGTCCTGGGTAAGAACAACTGCAAGGGAATTGTGGGGCTCAAGTCTTAAATGGAGTGCAGGAACTGTTCACTCCATCCCTTCCTGGGGTGCAGTTTAGCAGTCCTAGCAGCAGCTTGGAGCAAGGGAGAGCTTCTGCCCTGAGTTGACATGGTGCCAACCAGCTCCACACTTCCCTTGGGATGGGAGGAGAATTTGGGGACTTTTTTGAGGTCAATTTCAAGGAACTGGCCTCCCTTCCACCCCCGTGCTTCTTGCTCCCCCCAGGCATCGGGCCTGACTGTAGGTTGGGGTGAGGACTGCTTTCTCCCACAGGGCTTTATCAGCTCTGCATGCATCTCCCGGGATCCTGGTATATCTGGCCACTTGATGTACTTTAGGCATTGCCCTCCCTGCCCGCCACATCTAACAAATTCCAGGACACACAAGTGTACACACATACACACACATTCTCAGGCAGAATTTACATGGGTTCCT